GACATTGGGTCTCGTACAGATTAGATCTTTACTACAAACCTAGAAAAGCTCAATAAGCATGTGTCATTAATGCGCAGTGTACCCCAAAACATTTAAAGATATTTCAGCAGCTGCTCCTGCTTTGGACTGGCTGCTGGAGGGGGGAATAACATATTTGACATCTTTCTCTTGACTCATGAAAGCTTTTTATTCAGTGGATTACAACAGTGGCATTGTCATGCGAGCAGAGAACTGTCATCATGATAATATCTGTCTCTCCTTTACTGTAATCTGTGCTGCACATGTTTGAATTTTTACAAATTATCCCTGCACTAAAATTCACTTCATTTGTCTGTCTACTCGCAGTTATATTGAATAGTTTCTGCTGATAACAGGTCTACACTTTAACTTTATGTCAATACTGTCCATTTACAACTCTGTTCTTGCACATTTACATGTAATCTTCCTATTTAAAGACGAGTAATACTTAGTTAAATCCTGGTTGTATATATTCCCATTCTTAGTTTTGATATTTTTAGTGCTTATTTACTTAATATATTGTGTTTAGATTGTTTGTTTTTTTTACTCATTGTGTGCTGCTGTAATCCCAGTTTGGGATCAATAAAGTAAATCTATTCTAATCTATATATTTCACTGAACAGAAGTAATGTCCCTTGCTCTCTGTGAGCAGGATGGAGAGGCCAACAAGACAAAATCCAAGTTTCTAACATGTTTAATCTACTGTTTGTGTTGCTGGCTGACTGCTTGTCCAAAAAAAAAAAAAAAAAAAGAAGAGGATCAGGCGTGTTTGATGACGGCTGCAGTTTGCAAGGAGCATAGCTTATGTAAAGTAAATTAACAGCTTTGAAATAGAGGCGGGTAGCTTTTATATTAGGAGGTCAAATTATTTATACTAAAGGGGGAAACTGTGCGCAATATGGCCTGCAGTGTCACTGTGTCAAACTTAAAACAGAGTTAGTCCCCTTAAGGCTCTAGTTTAACACAGTCAACACAAGAAGGATGTTATTATGGCTTGTTTTAAGGACAAGTTGGTAGTTTTAAGTGTTGTTAGTTGGCTGTATGGTCGACTATGGGGCAGGCATGATGATCTAATTCATGCAGCTTTTTTTTTTTTTTTTGAGCAATCTTACCTGTAAAGTTAACATGCGGTTTATGCAAAAAAAAACATCGCTGTGAGGGTTTTTTTTTTTTGTTTATCACCTTTTAACCACGAACTATAAGTCGAAAAGCTAATTCTGAGCTAGTAGTAGTAGCATGCGCTAGCTAAAGCAAGTGGTGCTCTTGCTTGGCCAACTTGACACTTACACTGGAATTACGTCAGCTGGAATCAAGAGTAGACTTCAAATCACAGCTTTTAAAAAAAAAAACACACATTAAAGAGTCTAAACGATGTAGGTAGAAAGCTTATAACCAAAGCAGGTGATACTGCGTTAGCTGTGAGCATGATGTGAGCTAGCCAGCTAACTAAAGCCAACAATAGGTGGGATTTGTGCTCACTCTCTCTAACTGCTCATTAATGAAAGTTTCTTACCGTTTTATGTCCACTCTGGAGGGTCTAAATAGCGAATAAGGGGACCTGGGTGAGACCCCCGTCGCTTTCCACACAGCTTCCACAACCAAAACAATACTTCTGTCCACACTGCGGATCCGTAGCGAAGGCTTTTTTTTTTTAAATGTTTGTAAATAAACGTAAAGAGTTACCTCCTCTGAGCCACGTGTGCTTCTTGCTGTTTAGCGGGAGCTGCGATTTAACAACAAATCTACGCGAAAACCGTTTTAAAAATGTGCCCTAGTCAACGGCGACTTTTTAGAAATTAGATCCCCTCAAAGCAGTCTCTTTTCCCTTTGCAAAAATGGCGGCCCTGCCAGGACTGCTGAGACTCCGCCTCCCCACCCCCCCGCCCCCCGACGATTCCCCCCCCTCCCTCCCTCCCTTCCCATCACTAAAAAACGAGCTCCGCCTCCACATACTGCGGGGTTTCACACCCGGTTTCACAGGGGCGGCCGCGACCATGCGCTATGCGCGTTCACGGCTGTGATGCCCCCGTAAGTCTCTTGCAGGGTTGCCAGGTCCCGCTTTGTTATAAGCGACTTTTGGGCTCGCTTGCAAATAGAATTAGATGTTTATTGTCATGTGCACAGGTACAGGACAGTACAGGTACACTGGAATTCTTGTGCGTTTCTCCCTGTGTCAGCTTCTACAAAAAAAATAGACTAGCATTGTAAGAAAAAAAGAAAGAGTACAAAAAATAAATAAGTTGTATTAACAGCTAAGTAAATTAAAATAAACTGTACAGAAGTTTTACACTGTATAACACAAAAAAATAAAAGTAACAAGGGGAACACTGTACAATGAAATGAAAATATAAACATGTTTTCTTATTGCACTTATTATCTCTTATTGCACCTGAGGTTATTGCACACATATTTTTCGCATTATATAATTGCACTGTTTTTTTTGTTTTTAAGGTGAATGTTGCACACTTGTATTGCACTGTGAATAGAATAGAGTGGATAAAACAGTGTAAATTTTAATGGCATGTTTCTACTGAAGTTAACTTTTATGTTTGTATTGAGGAATTAATTTGATAATTTATCTATTTTTGACCTGTCTGATAACTTTTTTGTGTATATAATAAATTCTTTATTCAATCAAATATCTTTTATTATTTTGTTTGTTTTTTTTACATTATGTTCAGCAATTAAAAGTTTCCACTCTCAATTGAATGTACAACTGTTTTCTTATAGAATAGAATTACTTTATTGTTCCCAAACTGGGAAATTGTGGCGTTACAGCAGCAGGTTGTCCAAACACACAATATGAGTAAAAAAAACACAATGTTAGCAAATTTAAAAAACAATATAATATTAAATATAAAGTAAATAAGAACTAAAAATATCAAAACTAAGAATGTGAATATATACAACCAGGATTTAACTGAGCATTACTAGTCTTAAATCGGAAGATTAAATGTGGAAGATTGAATGTAAATGTGCAAAAACAGAGTTGTAAATGGTTGTAAATTAAATATGAAAGATTAAATGTATATGTGCAAAAACAGAGTTGTAACTATCGTCAGTCGCGGGTTTTGGGGCTTGTTTGGACTTGTTTGGGCTTGTTTTCTAAAGTGCAGGATCTTGTTTGGGCTTGCTTTGCTCCCTGTATGAACACTTACTGATTCACTCCCAACTCTCCACAATAAAGACAAACACGATCGCGATAATTTCCAGGATGTGGTAATTTGAGTAACCTGTTTGACTTCATTTTATTTATTTGATTCGCTTGTTTCTGGGCTTGTTTCCATAGAGCTGGTTGCTTGTTTCTCTCGCGAGATCTGGCAACCCTGAGTCTCTGCTATTTCTGTCGTCAACGATCTGGATATAACTCGTGCTGAACTCTATACAATGCTCGTCAGAAGGACGTTTAGTAGCGGGAATAAGGGAATAAGGAAAGCTGTGTTAATCAAGTGACAGGCTTGGTTTTAAGTCGTAGTATGCGATGATTTAGTTCATGTTTTTTTTTTCAGGATTATATCTGACAAATACATCTTCCAGCAAATGAATGCAGCACTAATGTGATGTGCTAGATATTCAAAGTAGTCTTAACTGCCTTTGAATAATGAAGTCAGCTATAGGAATGTTTTTAGCAAGACATTTTGTTTTAACTAATCATATTAACTCCATCTGTTTCCTCTTCTTCCTCTCAGGGTGATGATAAAAATCTCAGCATGGAAATATGTATTCGCCTCTGCATGGAAAAAAAAAACCCACAACCAGTTCATGCTCAATTCATATGTACCATGTTTAATTAATGTATTTTTTTTTTGGTAATAAAAGATTGTGATAGCACCCAAGTTTACAAATATTTTTTTGTTCAGCATCTTTTGTTTTACTACTGGCATGGCTGGAAAGGAGCACCTAAATCCGCTGCACAACGCAGTAGGAGGCACCTAAGCTGTTATGTAACCCCTTACACAAGAGCAGCATTTTAAAACTGAACTGATGTCAGGATGAAGTACTGACCAGTTAGAACCAATAATGGACAAAGAAATCAAGATATTATATCTCACATATATTCCGGCCTGCATATTGTATTTGAAGCTCACGAATTGTTGGCTTTAAGTCTAAAAACTAATGGTGAACATATGGATACGAGTGTGGTAAACAGACTCACTCCCCTCATATTTGTTGGGTTTCTAAAAAAATAAAAACACTTTTTCTCCCTCCCATTATTTCATTTCATGGAGATTGATTTCTTTTTGCTCTGTGATCTTCTCCAAACAAGTAGAACATGCCATTTGTAACCTATTGAGGAATTTAACAACCACATCAATGACGTCATTTTACCACTTTAAAAAAAAAAATCGTCAGTTTCTTCTGACAGTTTTATTGTGCAAAATCGGTGACTGTCATCTAAGAAATCCCTTTGACATCATATGTTGAGAGAGGATGCTCTCATCGTTTCCATCTATTTGACCCTCCCCCACCCCTAAACCGCATCCGAACGCGCATGCGCAGTTTGTGCGGGACTTCTGCAAATGCTGGTGTGCAGGCAGCCCAGGTTGTTTGAAATAAACTTGGAGAAGGACGGAGGTAGTAGTAGTAGTAGTAGTAGTTGGGGTCGACCATTGCCACCTTCACCGTCTTTCAAAAAAAAAAAAAAGGGAACGACTTGTAGAGGATGCGTCGTTCACACGGTCACTGTCGATTTCTTTTTTTTTACGGGAACATAATATCCGTGACCGTTGTGCACATGGTGTTTTTGATTTAAAGGATTACCTCTTTAACATTAGAAAAAAAAATGCTCAAATTGTGTGGGATATCTTGAGTTGTCCAAAAGAAAAAACAGAAAATTGTTTTTTATTTTTTATTTTATTTTTTATAATCGGTGTCTCTGCGATGACATCATGCAGTTAGTGTTTAGTGGGCGGGGTCTGAGCTGCGAGGGGAGAGGGGCGCAACCGGAGAGCATCTCTGAGCAGGCGCCATTAGGTAACAACGTAACGTGTGTGTGTGTGAGTATTGAGATCGGAAAAGAGGCTGCAATGCGGGGCGAAGCTACACACCCGAGACAACAACATGTATTCACCCGGAAATTTGACATTTATTTCCGTCAAGTCAATGAAATTGGACTTTTTCTTTCAAACGAAACTCGTTGTTGTTGTCGAGTGGAAACAAGATGGCGTCTGGCATTCCTTTCTTCTGAAGTACACGCACGGCCCGAGCGCTCATGGGCGGCGGCGCCGTGCGCGTACTCGTCACTGTTATTTCCTGCTTTCACATCCTGGGCATTGACGTTATTATTTAAACTACAACCAAAAACTACAACCTGCACACTGAGCGCTGAACTGTGTGTAATATGTTTTTTTTAAACATTTGTTTGTGGTGTTGTAAGACAAACCACACATTTGTCATGAAAATAAACAATGAACCAGTCAAAGAATACAATTTCTACAATCTGAGCAATACATCTATATATATGTAAAATAAATTAAGACTAGCAACTTAATCCATCAATGTCTCTTTTCATGCATGTTAAAGTGTAAAACATGTAAAAGGCTTCACAAACAGTACATCACAACTTCACCCCATACCAGCTTTTTGTTGAGCTTTGACCCCATCTAGTGGATAAAACTGTACATTTGAATGGCATGTTTCTACTGAAGTTAACTTTTATGTTTGTATTGAGGAATTAATTTGATAATTTATCTATTTTTGACCTGTCTGATAACTTTTTTGTGTATATAATAAATAATTTATTCAATCAAATATCTTTTTTTTTTCTTTTTTTTTACAATATGTTCCAGCAATTAAAAGTTTCCACTCTCGATTGAATGTACAACTGTTTTCTTATAGAATATAATTACTTTATTGATCCCAAACTGGGAAATTGTGGCGTTACAGCAGCAGGTTATCCAAACACACAATATGAGTAAAAAAAAAAAACACAATATAATATTAACTACAAAGTAAATAAGTACTAAAAATATTAAAACTAAGAATGGGAATATATACATCCAGGGTTTAATTTAGCATTACTAGTCTTAAATATGAAAGATTAAATGTAAATGTGTAAAAACAGTAGTAAATGGACAGTATTGACATAAGTTAAAGTGCATGAGTGTAGACATATTATAAGCAGAAACTATACAATATAAAGGCGAGTAGACAGACAAATGAAGTGAACATGAGTGCAGGGATCATTTGTAAACATGTGCAGAACAGATTACAGTAAAGGAGAGACAGATATGATCATGATGACGGTTCTCTGCTCGCTGTTATTTGTATTATTCATAAGATTATAATTCCTTAACTTAATCTATGCCAAAAAGTTTCGGAAATTTTGAAGACAAATTGAGAAGAGATGATGGCTAAACTGAATATATAAAGCCGTGTTCCGAGCAGAACACTAGAGGGCGCTGTTCCACACTTGAGTATTTATCACATAGACATTTAACGGAAGAAGAAGTAAGTCGTCTCTTGTTGTCCAATCACAGCTTCCGTTGCAGAGAGGTCGCTTATTGACAAGGGGAGAAGGTGACTCCTCGACGGACAAGAGCAGTACTCGATTAAATCTAACAAGAAACACAAAAGAAGACGGTTGTTTGCCAATTAAGCAACCATGTCTTCGTTTGGGAGGGCTTTGGGAGTCCTCAGAACAGGATCCCGGCTCATTAGACGAGGCCCTCAAAGAATAACGACCAGAAAGTAAGTAAGATCAGACTCGTTAGCATGTTAGCTGCTACGTTAGCCAGCTGTAAAAACGACTTCCAGTTTTTCCTATTTACTTGTGTTGTATACACATAACGACTTTCATTCCTGTTAATGTTGTTTATTTATTCATTCATTTTGTATTTATGTTTGTCTCGTCAATTTTCATTATTATTAGTAATGTTTATTTTATGTTTATTTTTTTGATACTACTCTCAAATTTACTTATTTTTTCACGCTTATTTTTTAATTTTTTAATTTGGTTATTGTGTTGTATTTTTTATTTATTATTATTATTATTAGTCATATTTATTATTAGTAATATTTATTTTTTTGATACTACTCTCAAATTTACTTTTATTTTTTCACGCTTATTTTTTAATTTGGTTATTGTGTTGTATTTTTTATTATTATTAGTAATATTTATTATTAGTAATATTTTTTTTTTGATGCTACTCTCAAATTTACTTTTATTTTTTCACGCTTATTTTTTATTTTTTAATTTGGTTATTGTGTTGTATTTTTTATTTATTATTATTATTATTATTAGTAATATTTATTATTAGTAATATTTTTTTTTGATACTACTTTCAAATATACTTTTATTTTTTCACGCTTATTTATTTATTTTATTTGGTTATTGTGTTGTATTTTATTTTTTATTATTTTTTTTTTCTGTGAGTTTTCCACTCTTGCACTTTTATTCTTGTCTTTAAACTAAGAGGTCTATTTGTTGGTCTGGGAGGGTTGTTTACAGGGCGAAGGGATACTGGCTTTTTGAATGTTTCTGAGGAAAAAAAGAAACATGTTGATTGCATCCCAATTGCACTGTATGTTTTGAACTTGCTTTAATAAAAATATGTTGATTTAAAAAAAAAAAACAACTTCCAAGTGCAAAGGTGAATAATAATGAAGTGTCACTCTAATTTTCTAACAATATGACTTAATGTATTTTTCTAACATTCTTCTAAATGTGTTGTAGGGCTGGTGACGCACCCCACATTGAGGCTCAGTACAGACAATATCCACAAATCACGAAGAAACAAAAGTTTCAGTCGGAGCTACTAAGCGGTGCTATGTGGTTTTGGATTCTTTGGCACTGTTGGCATGAACCTGATGCAGTCCTGGTGAGTTAACACTGCTCAGCCCAATTTCTATTGAGGTAGATGTGTTGGAAGAAGTGTAGAAGGGATCCCAGGAATTACTCAAAAATAAATCAGTCTGGAGAAATTACGGCTATAGATGATCAGAATCAGAAATACTTTCGTTACAGTTGCTCCAAAATATACAATATAGCAGTAGAAATATTAAGCAAATAGAGTAAGAATGTATGTAAGATATCAATAATAGGTACAAGAAATATTTACACAAATAACAGTCAGATGGAATATATACATACTTTCAAGATTATTGCATTGTTTTCTTCAATATTGCACTTTGTTATTATGGACATATTATTCACTATTATATTGCAATTTTAATAAATAATGAGTAGTGGAGGTTACATTTTTTCAGTTTTTTTTTTTTAAAACCAATACACAAGGCTCTGCCTCTGTATACTCTATTTAGTATAGAGGTAGGTAGTATTTTCCTGGTACTGAATAATACTGTCTAATTGTTCTGACTGTTTTATAATTTGTACAGCTTTGGTTGATAATTTTTCAAACAGATGACAACACATTAAAACGTACTGTGGGACGGCTTCCCAAAACACAAATTTAAATAATTTAAAATAGAAATATTTAACCCATTATTGTGAAAATATATACAAAGTAGGGGTGCTGGTGGCGCAGTGGTTAGTGCGCGCGCCCCATGTACTGAGGCTGTCGTCTCAAGCGGGTGGCCCAGGTTCACTTCCCACGTCATTCCCCACTCTCTCATCTCTCCATTAAAAGCCCAAAAAGAAATCTTTAATATATATATATATATACACACAAAGTAGTTCAATTTAAAATAAAACCTAAAAAATTTAAGTGTGCACATGAAAATAAAAACAGCGATACAGTCTAGACATGATTACTTGTGTTCTGCTTCTAGCTTTTCTTACAATAAATTACTACAGTAGTATTATGGTTTAGGGTGCTGTTTCCTTCATGTTGTAATAATGCCAGTGATCGGATGTTATATGATTTAACCACCTCCAGTTACAGTGGGTGTACTCGGTCTCCAGCACCGTTATTTGGGGGTCACATGTCGAAAATTTCTTCATGCTTTTAAATGTGACTATCAGATCCTTCCATTATTTACTCGTCCCCTGACTTAATGGCCAATGTGCTGCAGAACAGGAACCCGCCTTAACTGAGTCAGTCTTGTTTTATTGTAACTTGTAATGTCACTTTAAATCACAATAGATGAAAACTTACATCAATCCTCTTGCTCCTCTGTAGGGTCACTTCCCTTGGCCTGACGCTTCTGAATGGACAGATGAGGAGTTGGGAATCCCACCAATCGACGAGGAATGAGGTGAGTTTTGTAGGTCTTATCTCGCACTAAAGCTGTGTTCACACTGCAGGCAGAAGTGACCGGAATCAGATTTTTTATTTTGCTCCTGTGTGATCAGCACGAGACACTTTCACGTAAACTTAGAAGTCACCTCAATAACTGTAAAGGACGCACCTTGTTCTTCTGCAGGAGGATGTAGATAAAAAGTTATTAAGGACAGACACACAACCCCCCCAAAAAAAAAACAAAATAAGCTTTAAGACTTGCAGTGTGGAAACGTTTGACTTGCACAAGCTCTAAAATCCACATGTAAAAAATGCTCTCACCTTGAAAAGGTAGACTACAGTGATCTTAAGTTATTCATGTTGGCTGCTACTATTGAAGGTTCGTTTACAGCTCTCATCTTTTACATTTATAACAGCCACGTGTTGCTCTGATTGGATGAAAAACAAATTAAGATTTGTGCTACTCATTTTATTCTGACACTAAACGTGGCCCATTTTGAGGAGAAAATATGTTCAGACTCATGAAAACTATACAACACCTACTGTATACACATTAGGGATGATAACTGTTTTCTTGTGGATTTGCAGTTTTCATAACACCTCCATTTCTATGTTTCCCTGACATTATTGAAAAGCACTATTTACAGTGCTAGTTGTCACTTCAGATATTTTCTCATAATTTATACAAAAGTGAAATGTACAGCTAACACCAGAAACTACAACCTCTACAAAAGTGAATATGCAAATGAGTTCCTTACCCTCCATGGGCGTTGCATTAGTTCAGGGCTTTGTATTTGTTGTTTAAAAAGTAGCGCCTTGATTGAGTTCGGTGTATACTGAGTGTGTTGTGTTGGTGGTAACCTGATCTCCTTCCTGCTTGTAGGTCACCATGGAGGGATTCAAGCTGCTGGACAAGTCTTTGTGGAAGTCTTCACGATGTTCTGAGAGTCATTGTTGTACATAAAATAATAAAACAATCTATAAATATGTTAAATCTTGTCTCTTTTAAACATTATAGTACAGCACAGCTGTGTAAAATCCAACATAAATAGCATATCATGCCTGGTGTTAAAATAGGAAGCCTTAAAGCCAAATTGTCATCTGACAGAAAACAAAGTAGTGTCATTTCATTAGTTTTATTTACACGCAATTTTTGAAATGCAGAAACAAAATGCCAACGCATTAACAGTGTCACAGTTAGCCAGTGTTTGTTTACTTAAAATTCTAAGCCATTTAAATCTGGAAAGAAAACATTGCAAGAACCAACGCACAAAACACAAATGCTTAAAGAGATGCATATAAAGTAAAGAGAGGGGACAGATCCTCGTTAGGATGAATACTAACAGTTTCAAACAAACCCTGCCTGCGGGCCAGCTCTGAGAGTTCAATGAGTTCACATGCAAAGAGTTTAGAGGTTCACGTGTAGTGACAGAAAAAAAAGGAAAATCAGTGTGGGATTTTTTTTTTTTTTATAGAAGTCGGTTCTTTGTTGGGTTAACGTAAAACACGTAGTCAGGGATGAATGATTGATCACAGTCAATACAAGTCAACCTGAGCAGAGCTTTCCCGCTGTTCAAATAGTGGTCTTAAAGCTACGTGGCAACAGGTAGCCGGGGGGAGGGGGGGGCGCTTGACATGGGTGAGTAACACTGAGCTGATAGTGAGCAGTAAAGGGACAATACCAAAGTTAGCTTAAAAAGATGCAACGAGCGACTGGTTAAAGCACGACTTTAACACCACAATAGAGAAACCTTTTTTTTTTTTAAGCAATGGAGGAGATGAAATTAAATACAAAAAGTCAAACATCCTCAAAGCAGGAGGTGGAAGTCTTGAGTGGGTGCGGAGAGCGTCCTGTCTGCATCCACGATGTGGCTGCTGGTTAAATCGAAGGTTTTATGTCCATGGCATCATTCCCTGAGAGTGAAGAACTGCGCACTCGGAGCACAACACACGTCTCACTCAGCATTTTTTTTTTTTCTCTTTTTAAAAAAAAGTCACTCATTCTGTATTAGTTCCTCAAACGTTCACTTCTTTTCAATGCATCGACTACTTTGGATCGACCACAGTGGCTCAGAATACTTTTTTTTTTTTTTTGCTAAATATAAGTGGCACTAGTTGAAGAAAAAAAAACAAGCTCAGGTGTGGAAGTTGACCGTTCTCAACCTAACCTAGTTACTGCCCAACAACACGTCTGGCTACAGGGAGAGGAGGAGAAACCAGAAGAGACAGAAGAAGAAGAATCAACACAGGATCTATTCAACTGGGGGGGTGAAGAGTCGTGACAGCACAGAAGGTAAGAAAAGATCGGAAGGTCAAACTGCTACTCGACGGATGGAGATCACATGAACTCTAAAACATCCACATTTACAAAAAGTATGAGTTAAAGATTTTTTTAAAAAAGAAGAGAAAACACCCTATAAAAAAGGAACAAAAAAAAAAAACCTCAGAATAGCTGAGGTGTAGGGTCAAAATATAATAAAATCATTATCTCTCAATTAATAAATACATCATTCAGAATCCATAAAAATAACACATTAAAAAAAAAAAAATCAACATCACAGATAAAAATGAGAAATAAATTAAGCGGGAGTCTTGGCGTGACTCGTAATTCCTATTTCAAACAGAGGGAGCACTTTGGGGCAACTGGAACAGCTTAGAAACTCCTCTTCATCCGACAGCATAGTGCAGAATCTCGGGCACGTTTTTTTGCACCAAATCGTGCAAGTCCGTAACGCGCCGACATCCGCAGACAGACAAATCAGAGGGGGGATAAATGCACCAGAGTGCTGCCTCTCAATGTCCTCTCCTCAAAGTCATTATTGCTGGTGTGATAGAGATAAAAGGTGTGGGGGGGATTGGGGGATCGAGGGGACAAGCATGAGTGGAGTAAAGTACAAACAATAAGCACCATTTCGAAATATCAGTTCCACCTCTTTAGCACCTCGTAAACCGCCCACAGCCCCCTTCAGGGTATGAGAGTGGGGAGGGGGGGGGGGGGACATCCTGCTGTTTCAACTGCTTCTCCATCCTCTTCAGTTTGCAGATAGTGATGAAGCCATGTGGCGAGGTGGTGCGTTCAGCGGAGATGTTAGTAAATGTGATGCAGAAGATCTTGGCATCAGTAGCAATCATTCTAGTTTGTTTGTTTTTGTTTGGTAGAACTCCTTAATCTCCTTTCGTCCGTTAAAGAAAAACAATGCCCGCAGGAGCTTCACTCCACTGTTCCCTGCAGCAGAACATTACATAACAAGCTTGTCCTCTCAGCTTCCTGTAGCTCCTTTTTTTTTTTTTTTTTGTTGTTGTTCTTAGTGTGCTTGTGGTGAAGTCGTGCACTTGCTTATTTCAAATCCGATACCCTGTCACCTAAGCATGCACAGTGAGCGTGTTTTTTTTTTTTTTGTTCAGTTGTGGTCATCTCCAGGCAGTGTCCTTTTTTTTCCCTCCTCATCTCTACAGCACAAAAGTGTCTGGAAACAAAAACACAAATGTTCCTGTTTTTTTCCCAACTTCTTTTTGCAGGTTTCGAAGGTTTGGAGTGCTAGACAAAGACGCGATTGTGTCTGTTGAGTTTGAGGATCTTTCCCAGTCTCTGCTTGGCTGTGGCCATTCCTTTTTTGGGCCTCTTGCCTGATAAAACAAATGAGAACATGTTATTGTAACCCACAGTAAATGATGAGAAGAGAAAGGCATTAGGAATGAAACGAGAGAGAGTGCAGCCGATATGTATTTTTTACCTTTGGTGGCCTGATTGCTGATGGGTGGGGGCATTGGGGCGTGTCTCTTGGAGGGGTGCAGAGGTGGCGACATTGAGGGGTCACAGTACTGGTAGTCTGTCTCTGGGCTGGGGATCCCCTGATTGTCCCAGGCCTCGCTGCTGTTGCCCTGGCTGTCCATCGGGCTCTTCTCCGGCTGCAGTCGGTGCTGGTGCTGATGCTGCGTTGCCTCCCTCTGCTCCAGCGGCGAGCTCTGGGCAGAGCTGGACCACCAGGGCTCCTGGGACGAGCCTACCTTCTCCTGCTCAGAGGAGCACAGCAGACCGGCCATAGACAGCATCCCCTGAATGGCCTCTTCTGTGCCGGGTGAGGTAGGACGTTCTCTGCAGGGAGCAGACGAGACTTGATTATTGACAAACAGCATTAAAAGTCTAACACATTTGATCTCTGAGGTGTACCTCCATGGGACCATTTTCACACTCGGCTCGTGTTTCTCACCGTTTGAGTGGTTTGTGTTTGTGCCTGAGATTCTGGCCAGACTGGTCCAGCTCTATGGTGTGCCCTGAGCCTTTCTGCAGAGATGAGCCCCTCTCCTCTTCTTCCTCCTCCTGGGAACTGTCTGAATCCTCCCCAGACGAGGACGACGAGGATGATGACGAGGACGACGAGGACGAAGACGACGATGATGATCCCTTGCGCTACATTGACAAAGTGATTTTTTACAATTAGAAAGGATGCATCACTAATCACAGAGTAGAAAGTGAGGGAAACGTTTGATATATGAGCCACATTTGCATTTATAATCTGAATCAAACATCAGATTAACAGCTTTATGTAGTTTGTGCATCAGTGTTGCCCTTCTTCTAACACCAACAATCCCTTTTTTATCTCCACTTTGCATGCTTGTAAACCAGTTTAATACCTTCAAAAATGTTACCTCTGTGGGCGAGTCGCTGTCTGACTCCAAGTCCGACACACTTGAGTGTCCTGAGGCTTCTTCCCTGAGTTCAGTCTTAATCCTCTCCAGACCCCCTGATGAAACACACAAACACATCTTGAGCTTTAAAAATAGGACAGTTTACACGCTTGATTTCTATTCCTGAAATGTATCATATTTAAGATAATAATAATAAGAGCCACCGGCGCCTTACTGAGGAGTGTGGGTTTCTCCACCGTGCTGTGCTGCTCTTTACTCTCCTGCGTCCTCTCAGACTTCACATACACACAGCTCTTTGGTGGGCCTTGGCTGTCAGATGATCTCTCACCCTCCGTCTTCACCGGGCTGCTGGCTGGCCGCCTTAAATCTCTGCACAAGCAAATATTTACAAATGTTTTGTAATGCAAATAAAGTAAGACACAACTAAACTGACATGTTGCAAATAAGCACTGAGCCTTAGTTAACAAGAAGTTTTACTACCGTGAAATCCGGTGTATAAGACACATGCATTCAACCTGACATGATTCAATATTCATCCCCATTCATTGTGTATTGCACGCTGTGCTGTGACACATAGCGACACAGACGAGACTGGCTGCGTGACTTCTTAACATATTTTCTCCCTCATTAGGTACTACACCAGCAGAGGTGGGCAGAACGACTCGCGGGCTGTGGGTCTAACTAGCGTTGGGACAAGGGGAAAAAAGACGGAACTAAAAGAGCTACACAGCTGTACAGAAACAGCACATTCTCTCTGGGAGACCTCTAAAATCAGACTGCGACTTATATTCCACATTTTACAGTTGTATGTGGACTAAAGAAAGATGAGCCCTCACCTGATTATTCTGCCGTTGACCAGCATTAGCCGCAGGTGGTTGTCGTCCAAAGACTCTGCAGCAGCAGCTGATGCTGTTGACACTTTGTTGAGCTTTCCATGAACATTGGCACAGAACGCTGCATCCTAAGAAGAGCAGAAGTGAATCAATAAACATACTCTATTCGACTCAACAACAGTTTTCTCTTTTCATAGGAAAGGGCAACACTAAAGCTGCATCGTCTTAAAAGTCAATGAAAAGAAAACTGTGATGCTCACCTCCTCCAGCGGTCCCACCTCCAGCCTCTTCAGCACCTCCATGGTGTGCTGCTCTAAGATGTCCAGGTTGGAGGGCAGTTTGGGGGCCTGTCGCTGCTGCTCCCTCAGCCTCCTGGCTGCCCTCCTCGCCCGTCGGGCCTGGCACACCCTGTCAAGCGTGGAGCGAGTGGCCGGGCAACCGTTTGATCCCGACGCTACTCCACACACACTTCCCTGAGATTTCACTGGCTTGCTACCATTTACTGGTTCCTCCTGGTGATGTAGACAGCAAAATATACAACATGGAGTCAAGTCACGACCAAAGTCAGGAATAAACTGGTGCACAAAAATGATCGCCAGAGAACAAAACAGAAAAACAGATCACGGTGGTATTAACTGAGGACTGAGTAACACAATGATGTTTTGTAATGTCTACACGCTACAGCTTTTTTTGTAGCCTTCAAGTTTTGGTATTTAAACCAGCAACTCCCATTAACCCCTGATTTAAGTTGAAAAAGTCTTCAAATGTGTTCCTTTACCTCCAGGTAGCGGATTTCCTTGGTCAGCTCTTTAATAAGATGGTTTGGCCTGATATTGTCTGGTACCTCACTGGAGGGCTCAGTCACCTGCAACACAGCAGCAATCCACACTCAGACAGCAGAAGAGAACAGACAGAAGCCTGTTGTTGTGCGCTGACACACATCCAGGAGATAAGAACAACCAGGGTGTAACAAAACCATCTGAACAGAAGATATTCAAGACACAGAGAAGGACGGAGAAGGAACCCAGAGAGGAGCGTGGGAACACTGTGTCTGATTCTCACCTCTCTTTTCAACCACGTCCTCAGTGCACCGATTAAAGCCTTGACTCCTTCTACCAGGTAGGTCGGCGGCGGACAGTTGTCCTCTCGTAGCTCTGAGGAGCGAAAAAAGTACAAAGAATTAAAGAAAAATGAAACCTAAGAAATCACAGGCACTTAAATATAAAAAAAAAAAAAAAAAGTTGCACAGGAAGTGACAATTCTTTCGACCAATCAAGGGACTGCAGAGTGTCTAGCTCCACCCTTTAGGGTCAGTTTGGTAAGTTTGTCACTCCAACAGGAGGGTAGCAAAAAAGGTATGACGGTACAGATCGGTTATTTTGGTGCCATTACAAAATAACAGGGGGAAGCAGGGCTCTAGTTTCCTCGCAGATACAAAATATTTGATTCATATGAAATTAAATATTAAGTGTTCCGTACGTATCAAACATGACTCTCACCTTTTAATGTTTCCAGGAGGTTCTTGGCCACATACCAACAGATGGCCTCAAAGTACGGAAACTTAAAGAGGTCTGGAGTTTTCAGACGACGCTCCATTTCATAACACCTACAACACAACGGATGACAAACAAAAAATGTTTAAAACACCGGAGACAATTAGATGACATTTTCAGAAACATGACCAAGCCGTTTATATATATTTCATCTGTTCACCTGAGCTGCATGCCAATATTGAGGTTGTGAAGGAAGTTCCCTCCAAACGCCATGCAATCCTGAGAGGTGAGAACAGCATGGATCCAGCCTGTAGGGGGCAGCAGAGCATAGATATTTACACGGCTCATCCACAGACTGACTTCTCGAACAATAACAAACTGAGAGAGGGCTGTGTAGATGTGTAGGTTAAAGTGGTCTGCATGAATATTTATAGATTATTACAACACACACACACATATATCAAAAAATGCATGAAAGAACCACATGTTGAGCAACACAAACAGAATTTGAAACCTCCAAAAATCAGGTTTTAAAAAATGATAAGGCTCTCTGTTTTGATGTTGTGTTCTCGCTCAGATAAACAATGATTTCTTCACAGTGAAAAGTGAGGGAAAGCAGAGCCTAAGGGTGGGGGGTGTAAGTCTGACAGACAGGCCTGATAATGCACCGCTTGAGTGACCTACTGAGCTCTCTGACCCCCACTTAATTCCCACCTCTCCACACCCTCTCTGCCAAAATCTCTCCTTTACAACACTGCTCCAGCCTGCTGAGAAAGCACAGCTACGAGGCTGATTGAGGACGTCCTGCAGTTGACGTGCTGAGCTCCGCTTTGGCTGTGCTAGTGAAAAAAGGAGTTCTGTCGGCTTAAAAAGTCCATTGAGAGACTGATGGATGGATCATTGTATGCAAGACGACATTCACTTCAACTCCTTATGAGAAAGCATGTCATGGTCCCAACTATTAACAGCTTCTTAGAGCACTGCTGAAGGAATGCAGAGCCACGTGCAGCATCGCTACTTTCTTCATATTATATAACAGCAATGTTCCTCTTCACTTTTCCATTGCAATTAGGATCATTAAGAAATGTTGGGGCTCCTTGTCATGAGGATATTCCCTCGGTTATTTTCCCTTGGCAATGACAGAGGATCTTGAACAGGCCTGTTCTTTCCTGGCACACGCCATGGGAAGCCTGATCATTTTAACTCTTCAGTGCATGTGATGAAGAGAAACAAACACAAACTCAGCTGGTTTGAGGAAGAAGAGTCAAGTCAGGCGACTGAAATGATATAAATTAGTATGACGGATAGCTTCAACTGGAATGTTTGTTCTTCATGGAAACCTTAAAGAAAGTGATCGTCCAATAATCAAAGACTTAGTATCTTTTTACTTTATTTGTTTTCACTAAAGCGTGGTTTGTTCAAGGTCAAAACAGTATCTTTGGGAGCTACAACCAATCATAGCAACAAAACATGTTATCTAGGGTTAAGGCTGTGAAGCTACATCCCTCTCATATGTATTGTAGTTGTAACAGTTCAGAGACATTAGTTGCTCAACACTTCACAAAAGCACAAAAGATAACCACGGACCTGTAGGGATGAGCAGGGTGGTTCCTTGGGGCACAACACACTTGTAGCACTTTTCCACTTTGTCCCCAAAGAACACTTCACTCTGATTGGGCGAGGAGCTCCATGCCTCATATAGTGCAAGGTTGGTGGGGGTGGGCTTGATCAAGTAGAAGATCTTCTCACCCTGCAAGGCACGAGAGAGGAGCAGTTTGAGATGACATATTGTAACGCTTGTGAGAAATAGACGTTGTGGTGGTGATGCTGCTGTGGTCGACGCCGTCACACAGTGTAAGTAGATGTCAACGCGACCACACTAGAGCTTCCCCCCTAGCGCTGCTCGATAAAAAAAGATGCTATTCAAGAAGCAGGGCGACCTTTAAGCAGATTAGCCATTTTAGCTTTGACTGCCTGCCCTAAATACTTAAACATCCTAAAATCACAGAGTCTGGGGAAAATGGGCTTAGAAACACAAACAAGTTTTGAAAAGTGTCTCTAATTCTTACCCAGAGAACATGGTACCAGACTGAGGTGCCTCCAAAGTCTATGTGGAAGTCTGTGTAGCTGTCCTTGACCCCCATAAGGCAGTACTTCTGGACAAAGGGTTTTGGGAAGAAGGAGTCATCAGGCCAGTAGTTCTCCACCCAGGACATCTTCTGAGCCACGTCAGGAACCTCCACCAGCTCCGACATCCTGAACGGGCGGTTGGTAGGAAGACAGACAGAGAAACAAAAGAGAATTTAACAGTTGCCTAAATATACCTTCATCTAACATTTCAAGATCTCAAAATGTAATCAGTCGCATGTTACGCTAGTTAAAGCAAGAATGAGCGGTTTTGATGAATCCAGTCAGTACTTTGTTTTTATATTCTTGGAATATAGTGAGAAGTGTTTGTAAGATTGTGAATGTCCTTGTATCTTTGCTTTAACAGTTAACTTATCATCCCCAAGCAAACTGAAGACTAAAGCACACCATGGCTCACTATCACTGATAGCTCAATCAATGTAGTGACACCAAGCAAGAGATTGCAGTTCAGAAATGCTGTGGTGTGAGTTCATTTAAACTGTTTTCAACTATGTTTATGTTGTGACTTTCATCCATTATATGAGTAGTATTTTTTTTTTAATTCCTAAATATTCTGGTATAATTCATGTTAAAGGGGCAATACTATAAATATCAATTGCAGAGATTCCAGCAGAGCAAAAAGACCAGATCAGGGCTTACTTTGTGTCTGAGAACTCCAGGCTGATGAGGTTGAGGACTTTCGGTCGTTGCGGTGTGGTGAAATACTTGATAAACTCGCTTAGCTTCATTTTGCTGTCGGCCTGCCGGGCCACATCTATCACATCGATGATTTTGTCACCACCTAGACAAGAAGGGAGATGAGAAGCATTTAAGATCAAACGTGCTAGTCAGAGAATCTTGAACGATCAAAACTTTTAGCTTTTTAATTGGCCGCCGAGTGGGCGAAGGGTTCACTCGGGTCAGCAGCCTGCTGGCATCTCCGTGTGCTTTTAGAGATCAAGCCCTAAGGGAAACTGGCACCAATATGGCAGAGTGGGGAGGGGGGGGGGGGTAAGAGAGACAATCTGTCAAACTGTCCAGACCCCCAGTCCCTGAGGAGGTGGAGTGGGTGGAGGTGAGAGGGCTGTAGCGTTTAGCGCCTGTGTGTGCTTTGGAGACCTTGAGTTAGGCGCAGAGAGATATACGTGTAAAGATTTGAGAAAGAGAGAGTGCGCAGGCTTCATGCCGTGCGTATGAGACAGAAAACAGATGTTTAAAAAGGAGAAGAAAAAAAAACAGAAGAGAGAGACGCGGTGTGCAGCAAACAGTTGGGACGCTACAAATCACACCCGGGTGACACTTGGGGCCGGAAGTAGGAGCAGGGTGCAGTGTGTGGAGCGAGACAGCTGGTTGTTGTATTTCCCCACAACCCCTCCCACTCACCTTTTTTATTACCCCTTTGCATGTTCTCCCCCTCACAAACATGCACAGCCACCCACACACACACACAGCCACAGCCACACACACACCTCTGAAGGCCCAGCTGGCCAGCGTCTGATGACAGAGAACAGCTGGAGCAGAGGCAGTCAGTCACACAGTGAGAAACAAAGCTGCCTGGAAAGCACCCAACACCAATCTCAAACAGCAGCCTCACACACCCAACAGGGGGAGAAAAACCTTTTATTAACAGCCAAAGACGCACATGACTGAACCAGCAAGAGGAACACTAAAGCTACCTCACGTCCCAGTACAATCACAACAATACATTCAGACTATTAGTATTCGAAAAGAGTTCATGGATGAAGGTTTAATTGTTGCAAATATGTGTAAGTGAACAGAAACTCTCTGCTTATTGCTATTGATATACAAAAACTTTCTAAATTAACATCATTTGTTATTCCTGATATTAGGATTATTGCAGGAGTTTAACAACTGATTGTTACATCATAGCCCCATCTGTGACATCTTCCCTCTGCGATTTATTCACTTAAAGATTTACTACAGTAACCTCATGGGAAAAGTCAAATCATTATTTTTATGCTTGAACCTGCAGCTTCTTCAAAAGGTATTTTCTTCAATCCTACAGATGTGTACCGTCTGCGTGGAATTATAGAGTTTCCTCCTGGGTTAGGGGTAACATTCAAGCAGTTAAAGATATCTAAACCTAGACACAGGACAAATGTTGAGTATGTCTCTGTCATACAAGTTATATAAGGGGAACCTCCATAATTAGATGTGCACTGACTGTGAGTCTTTACTTAACAACTGGGCCCAATCATGGACCACACACTAAGTTGGCTTTGACCCCAGTGAGACACAGAGGACATCAGCGTTCACTCCTGTTGTCCCATTGTCTCCTGACTGTAAGAAACGTAAGATGACACTCGGTCCCCGGTCACAACACCTGTGCCTTGGCTTAATGCTCAATAGGGCATGGGAGATGGAGATAAAGTGAGCGAGGGGGGAGTCTGTAATCAGACCCTAATGATAAAGACACCAGAGGGCTTAGTAATGGGCTTGTAATAGGAGCTGGGAAGTGGCAGGAGTTTCAGTAAAAGAGCATAGTGGTCATATAGAGGGTAGTGAAAGCTAAGACGTCACTCATTTAGAACTCATTCAGCCGTCGTCTGATGCCTGATAAGTGGGTTAAAACCCCATGAACCTGAAAACCTGTTCATATTGACACACGCAGATGGCGTCCGCTCAGCGATGGAAACTTAATGGGCTGGTGTTGGGTGCTTTCTTCAGCTTTTTAGTGGACTGAGGCAGCCCACATCCTCCCCACAGGATAAACACTAATGCGTATTTGTGAACTTGATACAGCTGATGGTGACTGTTTTACAGCAGAATCGAGTTTGTTTTTAAGCGTCCTTACCCACATACTGCTCCACATCTTTGACAGAGAAAGTCGGACTGGGAAGTTTGAGTCCCAGTCCCTCCATCTCGGTGACCCCTATGGGGTAGCTGAAGCCGTGTCTCTCCAGGTACTTGGGTGTCACCTGCTCGCCCTTCATCCGCATGAGGATCTCCTCGCCACTGAAACAAGAGCATGATAGGTATTGTTGACTTAGTCTAATCCAAATTTTATGAAAGCAAACTTGACATCTGAAGCAAGATGTGTTCAGCCACTTCTCACAAGAGTTTCAAGTTAAGTGTGGGATTTTATTCAAATTCACTTTTTGCTACTCTTATATCTCCTCTCATTTAAACATCAGCTTGAGTCCATGCAACGTAGACTGTATAAGATGCACAGAGCAACAGCAACCTGGGAGTGATGCCAAAATATTGTTGCTGACTGGCTGCAAAACATGTCATAAACCATAAACCATAAACTCAGTCACCCCAATGCAACCCCACCTCCTCCTCCTCCAGGTTAACAGAAGGAATAAGTGTCAAACTATGAAGTAAAAGGCACATTAAAAAGCCATAAATGTTCATTGTTCAGAGTAGTTTTGTTTTTATTAGTGATTTGATGCAAAAAAAGGATGTTACATAATTTCCATTGACAACTGTGTTGTTGCTGTGTAAATCAGCAACCATGGCAGGACTGCTGTTAACCCGAGCTTTATGAGGAACTCTTAATACCCCTAATAAATGAATGAGGCCTCGACTCTTTGTGCCTTGGTTGACATTTGAGACATTTATACGTCTACATATAAAAGTGTCCACATTTATATCTACCTGGCAAAGGTCCTGCTCTGTAGCTCCTTTACGAACATTGGAGTGCCGGCCTGCACCGGCTTGGATCCATCGTCTGCCTCCGTGTAGTCGTGCCTGTGCCAGTTGTTGCGCTTTTTCACTGCAAACAGGAACATTTGAGGTTCAGTGGGTGGCTTCATTCTAATTTTATCATGTCCCTCTTGAAGCCTCAACAAAGTGGTAAATTATGCACATCACCGCCACTTTTTCTAAGGACATTAAATCACTACTCAACCCCTGTGCTTAGAGGTGGAGATGACAGGGCTTGTCCAATCAAAGTGGAGGGCTTACAACACCATTCAATTATCCTGTTAATGTCTGCCCTCTGGGCTCCTCCAGGTTAACCCACCCCCCTCTTAAAAGAATAAAAAAAAATCTGACTTGAACAACACTGCAGAGAATGACCCTTTTCCCCTGGGACCAGTCCAACATAAAGAGAGAGAGAAAAACTAAATGTAAAGAAGGAAGCCATGTAGATGTGAGGCAGAGAACCAGAGGGTTGGGTCTGCTAAACAAAATAAATGGTAGAGCTAAAAGAGGGAGGAAGACAGAGACGCAAAAAGGAAAGAAAACACAGTACTAATGATTACTAGCAGCACTCACTCAGGGAGGGTCCTTGTACCACATCACAGTTGGGACAGTGGTAGACATCGATATCCACGGCATGATGCTCTTCTACCTGCACACAGCTGGGATGGAAAAGAGACACGGTTAAACAGGAGTCAGCTTTGTCCAACTGAGCAACAAGAAATGTAAACAAAGCAGTTACAAAAACGCTGAAAAGCCTCCATAGCTGGCAAAACGACATCTTAATAAAGTCTTATACTAACACTTGCTTGTATAGGCTATTCAAATACTTCAACTGAAAAGCTAGCCGTGCAATTTGCCATCTTCACATCAGCATAAACGTCCCAAAGTTGGACTAATTTGAATTTCCCTCGAGATCAGACAGAAGTGTCTGTCTATCTATCTAATGGCAGTTTCCCCTGTTTTTCCAGCACTGTCTTCATTACATGAATGCAGCGGTCAAACGGTGGCAGAGCATCAACTGCTAGTAAAGACAGTGAGGTGTTTTTTTTTTTTTTTTGTCTTACAGCTCTGCAACAGTGCGACTTCTACCCCCGACCATCCTGCTGCAGCTTAACCACAGGCAGCAACACAAATGCATTCCTCTGCTGCATACCAGAGCCCCATTCCAGAACAGCATGGGTTGAACAGAAACCTGCCTTTAAGCATGTATGGACACTCCTGTCTGTTTAGAGTTGGCCTTCATACATATGTGGTGGTGACTGTGTCTGCAGAGACCATTTCCTCTGCCAGTATTTTGATGCTTTTGGTTTTGGTTTACTCTGGACACTTCTTGGTGGAGAGCGTGCGTTTCCCACAGCCAATGGGAGTTAGGGTCAAGCTCACTTGACATGAAACAAAACCACCACTTCTTCCTTTGGGCTCTGGTGGCTGGCTAGTTGCTTTAGCAGCTAACACAGAGGGTATTAACGACAGATTTATAAACGCCTGCAGGAGGGATGGTGCTATCTGCTTTGATCTACAAGAAATTGCAGGAAACTGTAAAGGAAATAAAGCAGAGGGCCATCAAGTCATCAGGAAGTGGTGAGCTCCTGTGAATGCTGGCCCCAGTAACCACAATGCACTAACAGGATGTAAACAGTAGTTCTGTCTTGCCTCCTCCTTTACCTTGTGCTGCAATAGACTGCACTGCTGACTGATTTAAAACAGTAAATGTATAAAAGTTATAACACACAACATTAAGTTGCTACAATAATCCTCAGAGAAACAAAGCTCGGAGCAGACCGGTTTGTGTCTTCTCAGTTACTTTTAGCATAAGGCAGAAAATGGCATAAAAAAAAAGGCTGCAAAAAAAAAACTCCTCCTGCGCGGGAGTGAGCGGATGACCAACAATAACACTGTACAGTTCCTAGCTGTACTATTAAGCTTTGCTCATGTATCAGGACTCTTAGTTAAGACATGTGGCTGTTTGCTGGAGGGAGTGGAAGGGGGGGGGGATCTGGACTATGAGTCACAGCTCACGTGCTGCTGGGTTCATAGAGAAGTGCTAGAGCAGCGCATGCCCGGCCGCGGTGACTTTGTTGTCCTCATCTCACTTTCCTTTATGTAACACCACAGCGGGAAACCAGGGCACTGTGCCACATATGCCGGCCTGAGTCAGCTTGTGTGTCACCTGTAATGATCACTACTTTACAAGGCACCAGAGCTCATGAAACCATGTGGATTTGTGACTGAGAATGAAAATAGAAGAGAGGGTGGGAACTCAGCTGAAAGGGAAGGGGTGCCAAGTGTTTCATATGTGTTGCATCATCTGTAAGCTGTCGAGAATGCAAGCAGCTTTTGAACGTACATGAACCTATTATGCCTGGAAAGTCAATCTGAGCAAAGATCGGATTGTAGACTGACGTCAACATATGCGGCAGGACAACAGCAAAGCATTAGACAGACAGAGCAGTCAATTTGTCTCACAAGAGATAAAAAGAAGAGACTGGAGGGTTTATTCTATGACGCCACTGCAGCAGATTAACGAGCTAAACATCCCTTCCTGAAAGAGAGGAGATGTGTGCTTGGCTAAAGTCCTGCCATCAACAACCCCTCTCCCTCAACTTCCTCTCATCAAGGGCCTCCTTCCTGTGTGACTGAGAGGGCTTATTCATTAGTCCATGCACTGTGAGGGGTTCATTGTCCTCCATGATCACTGCAGAAACACAAAGGCTGGAGGCGGGCATCACCATTATTTTAAGCTCTAAATAACCGCTCTGCATGGGGCGGCGACACGCCCACATTAGGGATCTGGCAGATACCTAATGGATGGGTGGTGGAGATAGAGACAGAGAGGAGATGAGGGCAGTTAAACACACCTGGCTATCCTTATCTACCCCAGAGGAGCACCTGACTCCTCCGGCCTAATGCATTCAGTCAAAGAATACATAAACAGAGAGGCACTTGAACTGAGCCCTGACTGATGGATAGGGATCTGCCTCACTGGTTTAATCATTTAAGCTATCTACGCGTATATAAGCATAGCTTAACAAGTTTTATATAGATATAAAACTCCAGCAGTGGTTGTAACTTGAATGAGGCCTCTCTGAAGTCGGCTGCTAAACAACAAAAGAGGATCGCTTTGTTGTTTATGGGGCGTCAGGGAGTCCTGGTGAGTTTTAACAACTTAATTGTTTTTTGCGCAGGTTGACTTGCCTCGAGGCTCCAAGCACCGAGGTTCTGCTTTCACACATGTCTTCAACATGGTTGTGTTAAGGCCCCCAGTGCCCCTGTAAAACCTACAAAGTCATCAGTCTTGTGACTGTCTGCTGCTGGAATAAATCAGACAAAAAGAAAAACCTTGGTCTGAACTCAAACGTAGAAAGAGCAACTTGTGAGTGCAAGACAGTTTCCATTTCACGATTTAGATCTTTCTTAAAGCCAGATACTGACAAACGATCCAATACCAGTGGATACAAAAAAAACAAACATTATCTGTTAACAAGGGTATCCTGGTGATGGATGTGACATGAACACAATCTTGACTCAAGTGCTCTGATAGTAGAGAGTATTTTGTATTCTATTCAAGTCAATCTTGATTGTTTTCCATTGATCTGGATTACAACAGACACACAGAGATTTGAACCCACCCCCTCATTAAGTTGGTACTATTTATAGCAAACTAAGAATTATGATTTCAATATTATGACAGAACAGCTTTATCTATAATATAATAATTCTGTCTGACATGTAATCAATACATGAGGCTGTTGACCTCACTAATCAACATTGATCAAGCTGAAAGTAATTCAGTTTCCCTGAGAGAGACAGCCCCGCTAATGAATGTAATGAATGTAAACACAGCTTTTAACAGGAGCTATGAGGCGGCTGTTTACTTTGACCAATTAACTTATCAGACTTCTACTCATATGATCTGAAATGTCAGTTTATTGACAGCAGTGGAAGAAAAACAATAAGAGGAAAAATCCTTCCACTCATCCATCCACCTACTTAGCATAAACACTAAAGAGACACTCTGTAGAGGCTATCCATCTCTCTTTAGCTTGCTCACACTATGTGCGACGTTGACAGATCGTGCGTTGAACTTGGCGAGCCAGAGAACACATCAATCATTCCCCTCTGTCCCCTCTGTCCCCTGCTGGTCTATCATCGCCCCCCCAACCCTCCATACCTAAATCAGACAAGGGGCCGTCCTTCAGTGTCTGACACCTACTCTGGGGTAAACCCTGTGATCTGACCTGAACCCAACGAGGATTTCTAGTGCATGAAAAATCCACTGTGTTTCTGTGCATTGTCACCTTAGAAACACGTGGAACATTCGAACAGAAGCAGGTCTTGTAATTAGAGGAGGCTCTAAATGGTAAATAACAGAGCTTAGCTAACATTTGTGATCAAAACCACAGGCTCTAGTTGTGGGTTTAGTTCTAACTGTCCTTCAGAAAAGAGGTGCTCAAAGTAAATCTGGATCATCAGAAGAAACCCCCTACTGCTTTTCTACACTCAAGTGTTGACATTTAAGCTGCGGGGGTTTTTGTTCCCTACTGTTTTATAGTCGCAAACGGAATATTTTCAGGTTTTTGGACTGGTCAAGAAAAAGTGAATCCAAACGTAATGCAGGGGAATTAGGAGCTTGTCATGTGAGTTTTTATACACAGAAAATAAAAGACCAATAGAGAAAATAACATCTCAAACTGGAAAAGCCTTGAGGCTTCAGCCATAAATTTAAGAGCACTATAAAGACTCTTTCTTTTGGCTTTCCTGTTACTGATCACAGCTACAACACAGTGTTCTGTTCACCATGCCCAGCTCCTCATCCTATTACAGTCCCGGGCTGTATTGTGCACTGAGATGTAGAGATAGACAGGTGATGGAAAACAGAACACTCTCCAGGAACTGAGGCAGCCAGACAAAGTACCCACACACAAACACAAACAGCAACACTGACAAACAAGGCAACGGGAGGTTGATCCCCCTCTCCTTTCCACTCCATCGGCGTGCCATCATCATCTACAGCCAGAGAATATCCCTTTCCTTCTGGCCTGCCTCGTGGGAAAGAGGCAGGAAATGTGGCTGTTTTTGGAGCTTGTCTTTCTCTGTGAATCTGCTTATTAGTCATCAATGGGGGAAGCTCCAACATTTGTTCCTTTTTCTTGCTGGTGCATGACACACAGCCAGTCTTTTTTGGCTCTGACGCGCCACAAATTCTGGCGGCCAAGTTTTTGGCAGGAACACTTGAAGTGGTTACGCAATGGCTTCCGTCATTTCAAAATGAGAAAGAAAAAAGTAATTGTAATGTATTCATAAACAGTTGCCGTGGAGATGCACCAACGCAGGCTGATTCAAAGAGCCGAAAGCGGGGCATCATGCGTATCTTTTGTCTATGATGGATTTCAGCCACACAGATAAAAAGTGGCAGAAAGTCAGGTTAGGCTGGTCTGACACATTTCATTTCACAACAGGCTTAATACCTTCTTAATCATTATGAGGCAATCTTGTATTACCTCCTAACACGAGGTGACTGTTACAACCACACTTTCCTCGCTGAAAGTGCCCCATATCTGGGCCACACCACATCAAATTAAAAGTACAGACTGTACTTTTGCCTATGCCACCCCACAACACTTCAGAATAATCCTGATTTTTGAATATGTGACGTCTGATGAAATGTGGGATGTCGACAACCGCGTCTGTGAGTCACATCTGAGATTTCACGCCGTACATGCTTAGACTCACACAAAAGGAGGTGTATTTACACAACAATAACATTATCTTTAAGATGACTATGACAGATAGCACCCACTCTCACACGCACAGGATGATTCACAAAAAGCCTCTCTTACACCCATGATAAAACTGAGAATATGGGAAATAAAAAGAAAGAGAAGAATGGACAAAAAGCAAATTCATGCAGTACTAAAACATGTGCCTGCCTGGTGGTACCTTTAAATTTATAATCCCCCTATTCACCACTAGGGGTCCTCTGCCATGTGCCTCCTTTCCTTGAAAGGGGATTTAAATTTCGTAAGCTGTCAATCAAAAGCCCCGACCATAACAAGCTCCTTGTTCTCGACCACTTGCAAACCACAAAACAATAAAACGCAGGCTTAACATACGCACATACTGAAATATGAATGTAATAAAAACACATTTAAACCCATCTATAAAACAATGACCACTTTGTATTCAAAAAATACTAAGAAGTTGTTCATTAAAAGCAGCGTGTAAGTGTGTGTAAAAGGTGGATTGTGGCTGTGTTTACCTTGAATAACCTAACTCAGTGAACCAGAATGAGAGCTGAAATCTGCAGACAGGCTGCTCCGACTGTCTCTTTATGCGTTGAAACAGTGAAAGCAATACCAAACTTTATCTCAAAAGTGACAACAAGGTTCAGTAAACACTCAGTCTCTGTGTGAAACTTTCACCACGCTTGGATTTGAACGACCCAGGCTGATTGACACAGTTAAACACTCCTCACAGAGCCGAGTATTATGAGAGAAACCCGATTTGCTGTGGGTTATATTTACATGGAATATAATTCGCTATAGCCACAATTAGAGAAACTGGATCACATTGTGTGTTTAAGTCGTACAGGTGCGATAATAGTTAACATTCAAGCGGATTTAAGAGGACAAATGGCCACTTTCTTTGGCAAAGTCGTGTCAATAGACGGTTTAAAACCCCCGTCGCCCACCGCTAGCGCCAGCGAGCTAACTGAGCTAGCAGCGACCAACGTCTCGATAACCGTCGGCTTTCCCCTCCGACACAATCAGCGTTTATCGATTCTATCGCACTCCGCCGCTCGGAGACATCAAAACCTACATACCTGCCGTGAAACCAGTCTTTACAGATGTCGCACTCGATCATAAACCGGCTCACATCGTAGGGCTGCCGGCAGACACAGTACAGCGGGGCCGCCGCCATCTTCCTACTGTCCCCAAACAACGCAGGAATGAAGCGAGGCGGGGATTTAACCCACTCTCCGGAAATACCCGAAAGAGGAAACCGAGCGTACACGAGTTCCTCCATTCTAGGCAATCCCACCACTGACGTCAATTTCCAAATTATTCATTTCCATCTGGTTGTGTGGGCAAACCAACAATAGACTCAAACTTTTTTCTCTAACAAAGGAATGACATAATGTTTTATTTTTAGGTATTTTGACAGCGTTACAATCTGAGAACTATACTAAGTTTGAGACAAAATGGGAAACCTCTTATACCTTTGTGAGTTAATTTTATATCAAACATAGCTTTTTTTTATGACATGATGTTAGTTTATCTTGATGAATTTCAGTGTTTATGTTCCTATAACCTTATCAACTAATTTAATTAAATCTTCTGAGAGTTTGTATGCAAACTTAATTGAAAACCTAATGTAAACACAAAATGTAAACAATGTGTATGGGTTTATATGAACTGATGTGGATGCAGCCAGTCATTCACTGCAGAGTCACATTAAACCAAAACACAATCACAGCCCTGGTATGTCTCCATGGAGCGTGTCTGACATGCCCTACATGCTTATGTGGTGAATAGCAATGGGACCACCGACCCACAGCTTGATCTGTGAGCTGACAGCACCCATCCCCCAACACGCCCATCTGTGCAGCTCTGCATTGGAAAGCAGCATGGGTGCACGCAGAGACACATAAGCACAAAATAACAGAGATGGCACATGTGATTCTCCTCGTTCAGCTGCAGCTCTCATCTCACTCAGATTTTTTTTTCAGAGATTAGCAAGTAGTGTAAACATCTCCTTTGTCTTCAGGGTGATAATAGCAGCCTGCATAGTAGATCATTATCACATCAGGTTTTCTCACTTGTCATCCTTGGTAACAACTTCATGTGTGGTGTGCAGATCCACCATATGTCTGTGAACACTCCTCCTGGAAGTTAAGTATCCCTTTTCAGTTAAGGTCAATGACTCTTAAAATGGGTTAGTGTTACTGCTGATGAATGGCCTTGAACAACCTCTCCAGGATGAATCCTGTTCCTGTTTAACAAGTCAGTTTAAACAACCTCAAAGTATTATGAGTGCTAACCACTCATACTGCATTTATTTCATTTGGTTCAGAACTGAAAGGTGAAAAACATCCACTCAAAAAAAACTATTGAAACCTCACTGAACGATGAAAGTGAAAGTAAACTTTAAATTATCTGACAGTATTTCTGCTGGTGGTGATCAAATGATTCATTGTTGTTTTTTCAATTAAAGTATTCTGTGTGAAATTTGTGTGAATAAAAAAAAATCAATCTTTAGATGTATAGCGCCAATTCATAACAAATGTCATCTAAAGCCACTTCACAAAAAGAGCAGGTCTATACCGTACGCTTTGTTATATTATTTACAAAGACCCAACATTAATCCACCATGAGGCATGAGCACAGCACTAAGCAACATTAAACAAAGTTACACAAGGAAAAACTGCCTAAAAGAGACAGAAACCTTGAGCTAACAGACTCATGTTCAACAGCTGTCTGCAGAAACTGTGTTGAGATATAAAGGGGATAGAGGGACATGCAGGAAGAGAGAGACAGAACAACAATGCATAAAATTGATTTAATGCCATAAATAATCAAATCAAATCAACTTTATTTATATAGCAAAAAAAAAAATATATATATATATAAAAATATAACTTTATTTATAATGGTAAACATATGTGCTAGCAGTACCAGCTAGGTACGAGACTGATTATATTACCTATTGATAATTATGATAATAGATATGGATAAATTATACAAGCAAATAAATGTGACTGTTTTACCATTATTCTCTTTATCTTATTATAATAATCAGATAAGGAATCATCATAATCATATCTACTTTTTTTTATATTTTGTATTTTAAGTTAAGTTAATAAGTTAAGTTGTATTTAAATTGGCACTTTCTATTTAGGTTAAAGTGTTTCGTCTACCTGCACTGTTGTTAACTTACTGCTCTGTGTGCCTTTGAATTGCCCGCCGGGGACAAATAAAGTTTTTTTGAATTTGAATTTGAATAAATTAATGTGAAAAATATTACAGGGAATGATAGAACAACCAGTTACTTATAGTTTCAGCTGTAAGGCTATTCATTTTAGGCAATTAAAAAAAGACTCAAATAAAGTATAAACAGCCTTCCTTAAAATAAATCAATACATTAGAAAATAGCTTATATTTAACAATCTATTTGATTAAAAACAAAAACTTCAACTGCCTCATTTGCGAGATCACACATTTAAAAAAAAAAAAAGTGTTTCAACGCCACCTCCTGTCTGAATAGCGACGTTGCTCGCTGCGCGTTCACAGTAAAACGGGGGCGCGCACGTTTACGCACTCACTGTCTGACCCAAAACAAGGAAGAGACGCTGGCCCCGCCCCCTGGTTGAATCATCATGGTGTACGACAAATTCATTTTTCAAAACAGCTATAACTTGTGGAGCATGTCTTTCAGGAACACCGCACTCGACTTAACTTCGGAGTAGATGTTTAAAGAGGTAAGAGGAATATTAAATAAACGGCGGAGTGTGTCACAGCTGTGTAGCTTTGGGGCGACGATAACAGCCAGTGGATTATAATACAGTCACTTCAGAAAACATCTGTGACGTTCGTACTGTTTTCTTGACTTTGCTGCATATCTTTCTAACGCAATGAGGACTACGTGCAAACCTTTTATTTTGTGTGCTCGCATGTATTAAAGTGTTCATGTTAAATTAATGCATCAGTATTTTATAACGTCAAAGGGGCATTTGTTTGCAGGATATTAAGCTTATCTTATCAGATACCGGTGTTACGGTTCAAAGAGTGACCATAATAACTTGAAGTCGCCTCTTAACATGGTCTCCATTTACACCGTAACACCCTTAAAAAAAAGCAAAAGGTTTATGGACTAATGTTAAAATCATTACTGTGTTATACAACCTTTGATTATCCAGTGTCATCTAACTGACAATATCATGTCTTAAACTAAAAACAATTACGTTATTAATTATATTAATTATTATTATTAAGGATAAATTAATAAGAGTGTAGTACACATTTATAATCTTTAGTAAAACCTTCGTTTAAACACTTTTTAAAAATTATTTTCTTCAAAAATATTTGTAAATGTAGTAACAAAATAAATACTGAATGGTTTGTAATTGATCCTATTAGGTGTTTGCAGAAATGTAAAAACAGTTAAATGTTTAGTAAGAAATAAAATGAGTAAAGCTTCTGAGGGAGACTGATTGAAGATGAGTGTGTCTGCAAAAAAACCCAAAAAACAGCAGTGTTACCGTGCAATTGCTTGGCAAATTATCTATATTTGTGAACATATATTAAATAATTAATATTAAAGCTGTTGGTTGTCGATTTTGGGCCCTGAAACAAAAAAATGTTTTTTGTGTGTTTGTTGGAGAAGGTGGAGAGAAACCCTGAACCTGAACGATGAGGCGTCTATCACGAAAGAAAGCTCTGAGCTTGGTGAAGGAGCTGGACGCCTTCCCCAAAGTGTCAGAGAGCTATGTGGAGACCTCGGCCTCAGGAGGAACAGGTGGGCTCTATACCTGTGAATAAAAAACAACAACAGAACAGTAACGATGTTAATCTGTTGCAGTAACAGCAGTTAGTCACCCTTTGCTGTCTCATCCACAGTGTCCCTGATTGCTTTCAGTGCCATGGCGCTCCTGGCTTTCTTTGAGTTCTTTGTGTACAGAGACACCTGGATGAAGTATGAATATGCAGTCGACAAAGATTTTTCCAGGTAAGCTCAAATATCACTATCAGGTATCACTATCACATGTTAATTATTGCTCAAAGTATTCCATTATCTACTGTTTATATTCACAATAGATGGCAGGAATTTAATCTTATAATATTCTGCTTCATTTACAGTAAATTGAAAATAAACATCGACGTCACAGTAGCCATGAAATGCCAGCGTGAGTATTCCAACCTTTTCTGTTGTTCATGTAAATAAACATTTCAATAAATTACAGATCATTTTTTAAATGTGCCAGTGACAAACTTTTCAACTGTGATTGATTTCCTTGTTAATTGTTTAGCACCAATACACCAAGTCAAATTCCTTGTATGTGTAAATGTACTTGGCAATAAACCCTGATTCTGATTCTGATTCTGCAGATGTTGGAGCAGATATTCTGGACCTGGCTGAGACCATGATCACGTCCAATGGCCTCCAGTATGAGCCTGTGAGTAAAGCAAAAGTCTCAAAATATGACCTACATCTTTTGTTTTGTTTTGCCTTTCATAACTTACTCTCTTCTCTTTGTTTGTTTAGGCTATTTTTGATCTGACTCCCCAGCAAAGACTGTGGCAAAGGTAAGCTCTCAAGAAATCACACAGGGAGATTCTGACCTGTGGACACTTCTCTGTATAGTTTAGTGTTTTTAATATCCTAAAAAGGTCTGATAAATGTTGAGTTGTTTTTGTAAGAAAGTGATCATGTCTGTTTTCACACATGCACTCCTAAAAACTTTAAAGCTCAGTTAGCAGCAATCAAAGAAACTTGTGTGACCACATTCCAAACGTGTGTGTCTGTGTTGTCCTCAGGACGCTGGCTCACATACAGGGTCGGCTGCGCGAGGAACACGCACTTCAGGAAGTCCTTTACAAATCTCTGCTCAAAGGGGGTCCCACTGCCCTGCCTCCACGGTCAGTTTCACTTGTGCAAACTGCGATCTGTTCATAATTAAAAAAAAAAAAAAAAAAGCAAAGAAATAAACGAGAAAAAGATTGAAGTTTTGTTCTTTTTTTTGCATTTATTAGTCGATATAAGGAGTAGAAGTATGTGTTAAATAAGTGTGTGTGTGTATTTGTGTGTAGAGAGGAGGCATCGATAGAGCCGCTCAATGCTTGCAGGATACACGGGCATGTTTACGTCAACAAGGTGGCAGGAAACCTACACATCACTGTGGGAAAGTAAGGTTTTATATGTATAAAAGGTGG